CACACACACACACACACACACACACACACACACACACACACACACACGCACGCTCCTGCGCGCTCACTCACATCCCTGCGCGCGCGCGCACGCAGGGATCCTTGATTAGTACAGGGAGCAAATTCTAGATGTCGTTGCCTATCAATTAGGGGGTTTCCAAAAAATACGCCAGGGGGCTCTCTTTTCCTGCTGTGTTACTGTATTATTCTACTCTTTGCTTAGCTAAAATACGGATTAAGAGTCTTCAGATGAGCGTTTTGCCTAGTGGCGCAGTCGGAACCATCAAGGTCCAAGTCAAAAAGAGGAGGAGAGTTCAGACAACAAACACGTGGGCCCACATACAGTATCGCACTGACAAAAACCTTTTCTTGTAATAATCATTTCTCTATGCTATAATAGGTTTCTCTGTGAGTGCAGAAGCTATACGCAATACTTACCCGCCGGGGCAGGTACCATCGCACTGCCTATTTGTACAGCAAAGCATCATTGTTCTTTTCCAGATGGTATGGTATTTGATGATTTGAGATGGTATTTCCGGGTGGTAAGCAATATTGCGAAATCTTCCTTAGTACCTCAAATACTTATCTACACGGCTTGCCGATTTTGAAAGGCATAAACTATATTTAAAAGTTCGTAGTTTGTAAATCATAAACCAAACAATATACAAGAATACTGTAGCGATGGCCATAATTTAAATCTTTGTTGACATTTAATAGTAAAAATATACACAAAATATTTTTGGTATAAAACTGTGTGCGTGTCCTATTCGCACTTCACAAGTTTCTTATCATAAAATCTAATATTACTTATGCAATAAATTAACACAAAGTTATTCTTTAAAATAATTAATATCTTACGTTGCATTTTGTGCTTCATTCGTTGTTCGTGACCCACGACAAATAACAAAGGTTTACAGAATAGACACACAATTACAGTTTATTTTGACTTCAGACCAAAATTCAAACTTAGTACTTATTATTATAAGATTATAACATATAAAGTACAAAACGAATTTTATCATTATGACTTGATTATTTTGCGCTGCATTTTGTGCTGCATTCGTTATGTATGACCCACGAAAAATAACAAAAGTTTACATAATAGAAACACAGTTACTGTTTATTTTGACGATAAACTAAAATACAAACTTAATATATACTTATTATTACGTATCAAAGTACAAAACGAATTTTATCATTATGACATTTTAATTTATGTACATTTAGATAAGTACGTATAAACAATGACATTACCACCGTATAAAATATTGTGCCATCGCAAAAAAAAAGCCACCTTATAGTTTGAACAATAAATATTTAGCTATCAACACAACATTCAGATCGAATCCATTCACATCACTGAAATATACATACGTACACGCAAATACTTTTAGTCTACACAGGGGACTTGTCTTTGTCCTGCAATGGTACTTCTTCAGGTGTTGTACCGTTAGCATTTGCTCCAGCTCGTTCCGCAGCTCTGGGGGTCGAACTAAACCGTTTTCGAATAGAACTCCAGTTTTTCTTAATCGCGATTCCCGCTACGACAACAACCATAACGGCTACAATAATACCAATAACACTCTTATCTACTCCCCCTGGTTTTCCGTCTGTAGTGGTCGCACCGACATTAACATCCGTCTCACTTGTTTGGTGACTGATTTCGTTCTTGGGAGTTTCTGGGACTACGATTAACTTGTTTGATGAAGTTTCTTCTGGTATGTTAAGTAAACGTGAATTAGCATTGATTTGCACTGTAGGGCCTTCAAGTCCTTTTGAAACTGTAACTTCATCTTTAGTTATACTGGCTACGGTAGTTACTTCTTTTGGTGTCTCTTCAGGTCCTAAGTGAATTTTATCTTCGAGCGCAGGATCAGCGTTATCGTTTGTTGGAGATTCAAGAACGGCTGGTAAGACAGCGTCTAATAAACCATCTTCCATATTCTTTAATGTATCTTTACATTCATAACTGTCAACCTCACATGATACAGAACATACGGTTTCCAGACTATTTTTCAGAGTACCACAAAAGGCTTCTAATAAATCTGGGGTAGATTTTGCCAATGTTAACTTGCGCAAGGATTGGAAGTTCAAGAATATTTCAGGATTCAGCTCCTGTAACTCACAAAAATTCATATAAACAGGCCAGGTTATTAAAAAAGTAGGTAATGTATAAACTGAAATTATTTACGTCATTATGTTATGAATGTTCTTTTTTAAAGTACACTTGTTTAATTTATTATTATCATGTTCGATTATTTGTTGTTTTGCGACTACGGCTGCATGGGTATAATGTACATATACTTTGCAATAACACACAATTACACGTAAAATTATTGCATGGGTTAAGTACTCAAAAACTTTGTATGCCGCGCTGTGGATCACTTGCAACGCCTTTTTAACCTGTGTAATTATCACAAAAAATATATGATTTGACTTAACACTTATAAACTTACCGTTCTGATATCATTGCCACTTAAATTAAGTTCTTCAAGTTTCGTCAAATCAATGCTGTTTTTCAAATCCTTCGGGTAGTCTATCAAACGGTTATTAGAAAGTATCAAAACGGTCAACTGTGATAGCCCGCTCACGGACTGAAATAGAAATTAAGTCATTAGTAATTGAAACTTTTGTTCTTTAATTTAGACAAATACTTTGTACGTTAGTTATACTTACACCTAAAGCCAAATCCATTATTTCATTGCTGTCGGCGTTAAGTACTTTCAGATTTGTAAGCGTTGCTATATTCTTTGGTATTTCAGTAATTTTATTATTTTGAATGTTGAGTGAAGTTGTTTTGGAGTCTAAAGGCAATGGGAATTCAGTGAGTCCGTTCCCAGAACAATCTACGACGTAGTTTTCTCCTTCAATGTGACACGAGCAGGATTTTGGACACTCTTTTTGCTGTGATTGGGTTGTTGTTTCCTCATTTTTAATTTCGGGAAGTACTTCCTCCAATAATGGTACTTGTGATGTGTCTACAATTCCCGAAAGCACGTTTATTGTGTCGTCACCACTGCCTTCAATGGGGGCACCATCTGGGGGAAACTGGTTATCACTTTCAATGGGAATGTTCTCGTTTTGGCCTGCCGCAGCCCTGAAAATTAATTTCACGTGATTAAACTTGCTGTTTATCGCAACAAGGTGACGCAGACTCATTGTGAAAGATAAAAATTGCGATAACAATAAGGGCTTAACTAAAACGGAATATCGGGGTGGGGCTTTTACGAGATCTGTTACATTTTGTATCTTGTGCAAATTAATGTCTTTTCGCAATATTATCATTACACATTTTATTTTAGACATTTACAATTTATTTATTAATAGAACAATGATATTTTTTTTCATTACAATTTATATAGCACAAGTTAACGCGTAATGGTTTTTTTTCAGCGTCAAGTAATATAAAGTACATTACGACATTAAATAACAACAAAATGCATTTTCTCGGCAATCAACTAAAGACTACGTAATTTGAAAAATTGTTTCATTTCTTTAAAAGTCCGACAATACTACAAGAATGCTCTTTCAAGACAACGTGATCGTTATAGCAAAACTCTAATACTTACGCTGTTAATGCCAGCAACATTATACAGAAACGTTTCGACGTCATGGCCACTGAAACGCAAACACTGTCGGGTAACGTGCCAACTGAATTCAAGCTTTGCTTCTGCCACAGCACAAGTACCAGCAGTCTGCAGGGCACATAGCTCACTGACACTTATAACTATTATCACTCAATGATAAGATTGTGGCATGGCACAGCTTATCGCGAATCACCACCTCCGATAACAGGAGCACTGTTAGACGTGAAAATATATTGGGCGACCGATTTTCAATATCACCTTGTAAAATACAACGCGGGAATCGTGATGATGTGTGCACAGATATCGTTCACTACGTAGCCGTTCGTCTCGCGAGGCACGCTCTTCTCGTCACCATTGTCTGCTCTTGCTAATTTTGAAATATTATACAACCGACCTATGCAAATCACAGCTGAAGTAGAATTCTCGTACCCGCGCTACGCCATAAAAACTCTTTCATATAAACTCACACCTAAAATTAGATTCAGCGAGCACCAAAATTTACTTAACGTTATGTTAAGATTCTTATCATGTTTAAAACCTTGTTATCACTTCGATATATTTATTTAATAAGGGGTACTGAATCATTGAAATACCGGAAGCGACATTAAATTATTCACCCAATATTCGTAGTAAACAGGACGGATACAATAGGTATCTGTCCAATACCAATGTATTATTAAGTATTACTTATCTATACTGCATTAAAAATTGTGAATATCGTCATTATGACAAATGATTGCAGTGTTTCTGTAATTTACACTCAACGGGCAATGAATTTGCATTGCCTACAAAAAATATTAAAGCAGATTATCCAATTCCGACAAACTTAAACTTAATTTTATTGTTTTTTTTAATCAACTGTGTTACAGGATTTCTTTAAAATGTATTTTTTAGGACAAAAGTATATTGTTTGTAACATACGTGCCTATACTAATTTCAGAATCTATATTATTAACCTTTATTTTGATAGTGATTTCCATTCTGTGCCCTTGAGCTTGAATGTGTTTTACTTTACTAAAATAGTTATCAATGGAAAGAAACATGTTAAATACGATGGGTGAAGCAATTAACTACTCGTTTTAGAACCATCCAAAGTGTATTTTATGTACCAAACATCATTAATACGTCCTAGAGAACAGTTATACAAAATCGAACCTTACCTGTGTTGATATTAAGAAAACAAAACAGGGTTTTATTGTTCAATTTATACATATAAAATAAATGCAAGCTTGAATTCGATGACATATTTATAGGGATAGGCAGGTTCTATTGTATCGATAGAAATACTTGAAATACGATATTAACCCGTTTACCTTATTAATATTTCGCGACTGACAACAGCTAGTGCAGTCCGCTTGCAGTTCCTTTGTTGAGAGGCAGTAAGCATACAGCCATGATGATTGCTTCGCAACTGCTAATGCCACGCGGCTGTCGCGACGACCATATCCAAACTGCTTTGCGAAAGCATCTCATCTATAATTTTGCAGTTGTAATGCAGCTCGTGTGACTAAACCCCAAGTGGTCGAAGTTGTTACAATTTTTATATAGTAAACATTGAGTTCTTAGGTTTTCGCGTTTGTTACACAACGTTGGTTTGCTTGAAAATTCAGATATACACGACTTAGATCCATAAAGCAGTTTCATTTCCAACAATTATTTAATGTTGTTTCTGAAGTCCAAGCTTCGGGGAGAAATCGTTTAATCCGGTAAAACTTCAAACAGGAAAGGTCAACTTTGAATTGATTAGTTACTTACTGTTGCGATCCTCTGAAACCCACATGAGCATGTTTATAAAAAAAACATCCGATAGTATGTAGACGTTACTGCTGAATCTTAACCAATAATTATAATGAATAACATTGAATGAAATACGCAATACGGCAATTTTTATAAAACTGTAGTAGCACCGAAGCTTCAACTTTATGAAAAGTACTGTAAGTAACCCTTGTGAACACTGCGCATTTCATTGTACCAAATGTTTTAGCACTAACCTTAGTGGGCTATTTACTCAGTTATTATTATGTTCTTAACGTGTACTAATGTCATTGCACAGTATTGCAACGGCGGCGACCTGGCGGACTATCTGCAAGCGAACAGGCTGCTGAGCGAGGGCACGATCCGACTGTTCCTGCGGCAGCTGGCGGAGGCGATGCGCGCCATCCACGCCAAGGGCATCGTTCACCGTGACCTCAAGCCCCAGAACATCCTGCTCACGCACAACGTCGCTCCCCCTCGCACGCCACACCCTGCTGAGATTTCTCTTAAAATTGGTACTTAATTATCACCTGAATTCTAAATGATTCAATGAAGAAACACTCATGTCTGTCAAATATAACCTCTTTTTCAAGTCTAAATTTAGTTCATTTCATTACGCCCAATGGAAAAATATCTTTATCTTCATATAACAAGTACCTTTTTTATTTCTGCCGCCAAGCAGTAAAGTTAGCATTACTGTTTTCCGGTTTTGAAGGGTAAGGGTTCTGGTGAAATAATTACACGCACATGGGACTTGTCAACTTATGTCTCAGGGTGACGGGCGCAGTGGCAGTGCCCCTCAAATCTTTGCAATTTAAAGCTCTGAGTGGCACTGCAACTGTTATGGACAGGCGTGTGAGCGTACCATAAGGCGCATGTCTTGTTGGTCCCGTCACTTGATATTATAAAAAAGAAACCTTGTGTGGAAGTTAGAATGAGTTAGTTTAAATGGTGGTAATTATGTTTATTTAATTTCCTATCCATTTCGAGTCGTTGCTCAACTGTGTGGTGCTCTATGTTTAACTCGAGTTTCTTTCCGCGCAGCTGACTTCGGCTTCGCAAGGTTCCTCGAAGAAGGAAACATGGCCGTCACACTCTGCGGCTCTCCAATGTATATGGTAATCGATCGCTTTTTTTTTATAGACATACAAATTTGTTCGATACCACACGACCGCCTATTACGTAATGTGCAGGATGTGGATTGTAATTACTATGAATGTGTTACAGGCACCAGAAGTCATAATGTCTCTGAAATATGACGCAAAGGCGGACTTGTGGAGTCTGGGTACGATTGTATACCAATGTCTGACGGGCAAAGCACCTTTCCAAGCCACTACTCCTCATGAGCTAAAGGCATTTTACGAGAACAGCGTAGACCTTCAACCCAAGTGAGTAGTCGCTTTATTACCATGTTTACAATTTATATTTTGGCCCTGGTAGCAACTGATATGAAACTTTTTTTTTCATTACTATATATTTCAGCGCTCTTCATGATGATTTAAATTGATAAATTTGATTGATCTGAAGTATTTATCTCTACGCTCTAAAATGTTCTGCATTGTAGAAGTATTTGCTACAATTAATGAATCATAATGATTATTTTATAATCAATCAACTTGTCAAATCACGAAATATGTTCCATTTTTTTTTTCTTTATAGTTGTTTGTAACAACTGAATATTTTTTATCTTGTATTTGTTAAATGTCAATACATTTAATATGTTAGTACTAAATACATATTTTATAAATATGATTCTAGAGCGAAGTATTGTTAAAAAACGTCAAGTGTGTGTGTTAGTTTTTACTACCATTTATAATGCTGCCATTCATTGCCATATCTTCACAGTCAGTGTCCATGTTCAAGGTCTGCCGAAAGACAGGCAAAACTGTTCCTCCAAACCACTCTTGACATTTGCTGCTCGTCATAATTTATTTATAAGCACAACTTACTCCAACATAAATGTATTTTCATCATGTTTTTCCAATAACGGTGATAAATACGACGCTAGGATTCTGTATAATCCTCTCAGCTAAAGCAAGATTATAGAGCAGGAGTACGAAATAATCCATTATGAGACTATTATAAGACGTCTGTTTTATCTCTCTTTTTACCTTAACATTTATAGAAAATAATTTTACGTTTTAATTTTGTTTCTGTAATTAAAAAAAGGTTACGAGAGGTAGCGTACATGTGATTTGTGCACAGCTACATACTTAGAGTCGTATTCCAGAACTCTACTCAATATTGAAGTCACGACTTGAGTATTGCAGTGAGTGAGTCATACTCAGGTCCTTACCATTAGGGTTGTATTTCCAGTGGTTGAAATCATACTCAAGTCTGCTCAAATCGTGACTTGAGCATTGAGTAGAGTTCTGGAATACGACCCTTAATAATGAATACTGATACCGTATGTTACAAATGAAAATTCTATGCGAACGTTGTATTTTCCAGTTTAAAAAACATAACAGTTTGGTTTTTAATATGACGGGAAAAATCCACGGAACGTGCAAAGTCAAGTCTGGCCGGGCAGCGTTGATTTCCAGAAAATGTAGGCAGTTTGCAAAGATTGTTAGCTGGATTATCTCGGTGTACTATAGGCAGTGTCAACACAAGTGTTTACTGCATGAAATATATATGTATACATACATATATACGATAGATACTAGGTAGGCACAGGTATATTGTTAAACATCAGAGTCTTCGCCAACAACCTGCCCTGCAGTTTGGCGGGTTTTGACTTTATAGCCAAGTGTTATTTTTATATTATAATAAACGATTTCTTTTTTAACCGACTTAAAAAAACGTTCTCAATTCGCCTGTATGTTTTTTTATTAATTATTACTAAACACTTAACCAAGCGCGCGTCGACGCGCGATTCCATATTTGCATAACACAAATTTGTACAATAATAATGGGAAAATAGAGATGATAATGCTATAGGTGAAAAACATGACGCATCGCGAGGCTTCGACTCTGCGCCTGTGTGAGTTGAGCCTAAGGCTGCATTCTGACGAAATTAAGACTTTTGTTTAATGAATTTTTAACCGACTTTCAAAAAAGGAGGAGGTTCTCAAATCGACTCTATTTTTTTTTTTTGTATATACGTTACGCGATATCTCCGGCATTTGTTAACCTACTTTGACGATTCTTCTTTTGTTGAAAAGAGGATACCTCAGTAGTGGTTTCATTGACATTTGAAGAAAATATTCCACCTCTAAAGATGGCAGATTAGGGGATGAGTGACTTTTGACGTCGGTTTTTTTAGTACTGTTTTGTACGGTTTTGAGTACTGAGATCATGTATCTGATCAAATATTCCTTTGTGAATTTATAATATGTCTTCATGTTTGCTTTTCAGAATGCCGCCAGGCACAAGTAGTGAGCTGTGCAGCCTCCTGATCGGTCTCCTGCGACGAAACCCGCGCGAGCGTATGCCCTTCGAAACGTTCTTTAACCATCCGTTCCTACAACGTCCGCGTCATCCTTCTATTACAAGTAACTGTTATATTTACGTATATTAGAATGCGACATTGTTAGGCACACGACATATGTACTTAAGTACTCTACAGCACACAATATACGCAATCGCAATTCGATATGAATTTTGATTTCATACTCTATTGAATTGCGTTGTAAAAACGTCACTCGACTAACGCATATACTTACATAATTGTCTAAACCAAGCCGCAAGCAGTAAATTGAGCATTACTGCGTTTCGGTTTTGAAGGGTAAGGGTGTTGGTGAAATTACAAGCACATGCGACTTATTAACTTACGTCATAGGGTAGCAGGGGCAGTGGCCTCTCCGATCTTTGCGTTTTAAAGGTCTGAGTGGCACTGCAACTGATGGTATCATAAAAAAAACGAAGAATTCTGCTCACCAATTGCGTTATACCATGGATCTCATGGAATGTTAGAGCTCGTTGTGAGCTTTGCAATTGCCCGGCTCGAGGGCCACTTAAATATTCGTTGTAAAATGATCTTCAAAAATAAATTCTGTCTGTGGGGGTGAGCCGATCTATTTAAATACCTAAACGAATTAAACGAGAATACGAATGATTATCTTTGTTCATCTCGTTTCCATTCCGTAATACAAGACATTCCTAACTAAGTGCATTTTTTGTTACTTACACATGGTAATCATTCATAAATGTCATAACGTGACTGTGTTTCACCTAACACATAACTAAAGTAAAAATTAAATATAATAACTTCTTTTTGTTTACACTGTCGACATTATTTATAGGTATTTCTCTATTCTTCGGCGGATATACTAGAAAAGTTACATTTAAGATTCACACTGCATAGTATTAAGTAGTCTTGAGAAAATTCATAAATTATTGCATCGGAACATCCAATTGGCGTATAACTATGAATGACATATTAAAGTCTACTTATTTACCCAGTAACTGTCTCGGTAGTCATATGTGTTCATTGATTCTCAATTTAGGCACAATCATAGCCTTTGTAGTTTCATGTTCACTGCTATAAATTTGTAGCCGTTTTGTAGTTTAGAAAAAATATCAAATTTTGTATGGAGTATGGAGCAATTTGTATGAGTTTCGATTCTGTTATATTTTGGTAGACAAATATCAAATGCGGAACGTATTCATGTACAATATTTTGAAAGAAAGAAACGTTTATTCAGCTTATGAAGATTTAAACAACAAAACAAAACACATTAATAATTACATATACCTATAAGCTGAAACGGATCCAACTCAGCATAATATATGTCACAGGTCGTTGTTTAGACATTGGAAACATGGAAGTCAATACAAATGCCATGCAACAGCCTCATGCAATTTCACACTTCTACATAACTTTTATGTTATATGAAAATTGATATTGATATTTACTCCGGATTCCCGAGTTCTGAAGTCCTTAAATAAAAAGTAAAACATTAATATTATCGGAAATAAAAACATACTCCATGTTTCAAAATTTTATTTTGTCTCCATAATTGTAGCCATGGTGTTAAATCATCTGATTACCATCACTATTTAGATATCATCGCGATTCCATAGCCATATGTATATCACGCTTTCTAGTCCATGAATTTTTGAACTTGTGCTATAACTACATTCACTCGAACATTATTGTCACGGTGTGTGAATATTGTTCAGGTTTGGACTCGGACATGCCTGACATATTGGAGAGCGAACTAGAGGGACGAGTCGATACTAACTGTTGCCTAGAAGAGTCGTGGGAGAGTCAGGGTACATACAATTCGTTTTACTAAACTTACTTTTGATTTGTGCATGGGGTGGGTCCTATATACTCGTACACTCGATAAATGTGATTTTGGTCGTGTTGTATCACGAACTTTTATTCTGTGTAATAATAAATGTTCGTTAATACAATATATTGCTTATATAGCATGGCTTCATATACACATATGTGTGAGGTTTATTTATGTGCTGGTTTTTGTGTATTATTCTAAATACCGATTGGTTCAAAATTTCAAGGACTATTATATTATCACTGCATATAATTTAACAATTGCTGCTTATAATATTCATCACTACAATTCACAGTTTAAGAACTTATTACAACTTAGCAGAAGTTGTAAAACGGGAAATTTTCGGGTTATTTTCACATAGCCGCACCTCGTGTACTGCACGCGTGAGGCTAAATTAATGGTTGGGTTAGACTTTGAAACCTGACCTACGGAATTATTCTTTGTTACTTTCTGCTAAGTTGGTAATAAATAATAATTGTTGGTACATATTGGCTAACTTGTCCCGTTTTCAACCAGGACCGAGCTCAAACATTCAACTAGGCAATGCTACCGGCAGTGCTCCAGTCGGGACCGCATGCGGGATGGGGGGGTTCATGCCCCCACTGGGCCTGCAGCGAAACCCCCCACCTGCTCGCGTGCCAGTTTCCCTGCCACAAGTTGCCAACCTACAAGTTAAGAAGCCTCAGCCCACTTCCTCTGGTAATTATAACTCTTCAATGATATTACAAAGGACTCTTGTTTTCCGTAATAAATGCTAAATGCACCACGCCTAAACACCTTTATTTGATACATAAACATTGTAAATTCCTAAAATTACATGTACAAATTAACCAGTAACAGCCTGCATTTGCCTGTTCACCACGTACTATTAACTTAGAAACATCCTTAAAGAGAATAATTTGGTCTCTATTACACAAGTTATATGCAAAAACAAATGAAAACTCAAAAATGAAATGTAATATAACTTAGCGCATTCTGCGTGGCCCTCTTCAAGTGAAGATTTAGATAGCAAATTATTTGTTATAAAAACGAATTGTAAAACGATAACATCTGCACGTCATCCTTATCGTAATCGCGCGCTATTTGCAGCACTAACAAGAAACTAGAAGTATTGCACTTGCGTAATATAATATTTCGCATTTTATTGTATTATTACAATCGCAGAACTCCTAGGAACATAAAATTCAATAACTTAAAAAAACAATGTTATCTGTAAAGGCTTATTTTAACCGTGTTGTGCTGTGTGTATCTAAAAGTTCAATGAGCGAGGAAAACAGGTCAACCGCTCCAAGTGGCTGATTGATTATTCTGTAAAAAATAATCGAATTTTCGAATAAAACGATTCATAAAAATAAATGAATTGTTTCTTTTCTTTGAAATAACTTCATAAATCACTTTATTTTTATACCAACATGTAGGTCTTAATGCACTGTGAGACGTAAACACAAATTAGATAACCCTTCTTTGCCCTTGCAAACCTAGAGCATATCAAATTTATTGTAGCAATAAGTCATTGTCGGTTCCGCCCTTTTCATAAACAACATTAATTTTTATATAATATTTATTGTTTTCTATCGTTGCTGTTGTTTAGTGCTATTACTTTCAAAATGTATTATTTGTACACTGTATTTAAATTGCATGTTTTTCTAGATAACCTCGTACATAAATCCTACAGCAATAAAACCTGACATCAGTTATTAACAATTAACACAATTCCCTGAGTCTTGTTGCTAAGGCGTATAATTGTGTACATACGTTTAGAAACCGTAATTGTATATTAGGATAGGTGACGAGTTGGCGCGAGCGCAATGTCACTCGTCAATTGACGTACTTATCCACAAAGCGACCTTCGCGTTCATAAAAAAATTGTCAGACCAAACCAAACTGAAAGGTACTTTTTTATTAAATCGATATAGTTTTATTGGAACTTACTACTATTTGTAGAGTTTATAGTTAAATGTTTCAGGAATGTATTTAAATAATCAATAATGAAGGTTTCACAAAAGATAGGCATGGCCGTATAAATAAAATAACAATAACGGTAATATAAGTATATTTCCTAGTGTAAGTAAGCTTAAGTGGCCTATTTAGATACGCTTAATTGTGTTAATAATAGACGATTATATAATAGTTAGCAGTTTCATTGAATCGCGAATCTCGATAAGGTTTATCTGTGCATGATGATTGTTTGGTTGATGAGTCAGTGGCACAGCGTATCGTAGGTCACAGACTGGGTCGCGTTTCTGGGCCAGATCCGCTTGATATTATAGTACGGAAAAATCTCAAATAATTTAGCACTTGTATAACAACATCAGTTGCGCCATCGCATTCTAGGGAATTTTCTACACGTAACCAGATATCTCAGATTCATTTCTTTAAAACAGGAACAAAAACAATGAGTATTCAATAAATAAAAGTACATTTTAAGACGGGTGACGTAATAGTTCTTTTAGTAACAACAAATAATATGTCACACGCTTAAATATCGAAACAACACTCTCATTTCCAACTATTAGTACGTATGCACGAATGTTATGAATAATATAATAACCGTGTCGTATATACGACAATATGAACATTTACAATACAATACAATACAAAAATTCTTTATTGTACACCAAAAAAGGAAACAAATACAATACAATTAAATTAAAAATAAGCGGTGGTACAATGGGCGGTCTTATCGCTTTAAGCGATTTCTGCCAGACAACCTTTGGATGGAAGTAATTATATAATTCATAGGAAAAAGACGGTGGTGTATGAAGAATTACTTAATCAACAGATAAAAATTGATAAATAAATACAAATATACATATATTTATAAATAAATAATAAAACCAATACATATATATGAATATCGTAAACTACTATATATTACTACATTTAGTACTACAGCAACAACAAAAAGCAACCTGTTGTTGTTATGTAATACAAAGTAAATGTAGCATTGATGTGTTTTACAGCGGAATCCTCAGACAACACTTGGGCAGGTGAGGAAGACTTCGTGCTGGTAGAGGCCACAGAGAGCGGATCCGCTGAGTGTTCGCCCTCATCCGCCTCCTCCGGATCAGAGGCAGCATCGCGCCCACAGTCACTCGCGCTACAACCACCTGCCAGCAACCAGCCGCCAAGCAACACCAACCAGAATGTTCCACAACAAGACACGGCTGCGCTGCAACTACGGGTCAGTATAAAACAAACATCAACTGTACAGTGCTGTATAAGAAGTAAGGGCGAAGATGAACTGGCAAAGACTGGTGCTAGGAAAACCTTTATTGGACCCGAAACCTTTATAGAGATAGCACACGGCGTGGCAAAGCTCACTGCTGAATGAGAGCACACACGTCTCTCGAGAAGTCTTGAGCATTCAAAAGTCCTGATAGCTATCAGGCAACTGCCTACAGTGCAGAAACACTGTAGAAAAGCTCTGTCATTGGACAGGAATGGCATTCTGATTACTGACTAGAGTCTTAACGTAACATTGTGGCTCGAACAAGCACGTGTCAAATATTGGGCAGAGAGAGAATAGAGAATGTCGATTCCACGAGGCGGATGAAACTCCTGTTCATCTTCTCACCCGATGCTACCCCCCGATGGCCTTACGAAGCTCCACACTGGGAAGGCGCATGCCACAACCAGAGGACATAAAATCTGTCAAAGCCAGGAAAGTCCTTCAGTTCTTCAATGCTGTCGCCCTTGGCTCTAACTGTAATTAGTGGTGATCAGAATAGAGCAATTGATGGTCGCAGTGATGAGGGGATATGCCCCGAATGAAGCCATCCTAATAATAATAATAAGGGCGCAGTTATTTAATTTTAACGCATTTCAAACCTTAAATAAGAAGATAACAAGTCCATCTGCTCAGTTGCGTTTTCCAAATATTTGTGATAAAAAAATTAAACGCCCTTTCTTCTTAGACAGCAGAGTATAGAACACTAGCACTGACAACAATTACTCAATGTATTTATAGCTATAGGTATATAGGAATGATGTTGTAATCTTACCCCTTGCATGATCCATCGTGTTTCCTGTTGTTTCAATGTCTACCTTTCATAGCTCTTCTGTAGTTTTAAGTAAAATGTAATTTATGTCTCCATTCGAGCTCTAACCCGTTTCTCAAGCCAATCGTGTGGTCGTCGTCGCCGCCGCGTCGTAGTGACTAAAAACTTGACATTGCAGAACACAGGCGTAGGCGCTAACAATAACATCCCTCGCTCGCAGCCCATCGATGTGCGCTCCAACCGGAACATGACCAACATCGGCTCACTCTCGCCGCCTTCTGTGAGTAGCGCCGCAATTCCCCTTTCATGTTTCACACCCGACACCCGATAGTCAAATGTGTCCGTAGTTCACTTGTATCGATGTTTTTTTTTGTGCTTGTCGTCACCTGCTTTATTGGTAAAACTCCCTGTTATAGTATTCCACTGCTAACCTTTCCAATGACTGTAATGCATGGCCTGTAAATATTATGTTTCTTAACATACATCTTGTCTATCGTATATCGTCGGGGATAGTGCAAATCCGCCTATGTAGTATTATTGGTAAAAAGCGCGTATCTGCACCAAACCAAATTTTGACAGGAGACGAATGTAAAGTTATTACTTTGTTATTTCAATGGCTACGACTTTCATTTTTGCACAGACAGCATTAATTTATGTTGTCTACGGACTGATAACAATAGATTCCCGTAAATGACGCTAATTTGGTTGCCACGACTTTTATGCGGATTTGATTTGGCCACTAAGTTACTGAAATGAAGACTCATAATCCAATGCTAGTTACGCGTAATTGCACTATCCCCGACGATATGACCTGCTGAAACCTTCATAAAAGCATGAGTAATGTGATATTTATGTGATGTATTTCTTGTCGGCAGGTGCCCTTCGGGTCGATGGGGACTCCGCCGTCTACGCGCCGCCGCAGTCAGTCCGGGAGCTCCCCGCCGCCCTCGCTGTGGCAAGTCTCACCAACCAACGCCAGCCCTCTTCGCCGCTCAGGTAATAATTACATCTTCAACTTCAACTTCAACTTTTGTGTCTATGGCTCCGTCGTTTTAATTACAACAGGCAAGTAATAGTTATCACTAGGTAGGTTACATACATGTATAAAAAAAAAATCATTAATTTTAAGTTACTCTCCCGTAACTTTGTAACGGATTCCGATCGATAATTATTCGCAAGAACGCTAATTACGGAATGCAGATAGATCAGAGTTTTTTAACCTATGGTCTATGGACCCCTAAGGGGTCGTGTTATGAACACCGGGGGTCTAAGGCGAGCGTACCTAACATAATGCATTAATATAACAATTGGTATACAATAATATGTTGTGAGTAAATAGGTACTGTGCGCGTGCCCTTTTTGAATTTTCGAGCTTTTCTTCTTTATCTTTTCGGAAAGGGTCTGTGAGCTCTTTGAAAATATGAAAGGGGTTCATAACTAGAAAATTGTTAAGAAACCCCAAGAGTGTACATATTCTAATGTGCTACTTACATGAGCACACATAGATTGATATGATTATCAAAGACTACACCATCTCCATCTTCTGAAATATTGTCGAAATTTGTTTCCGATTTAAGATATTCCATTAAAGATGTGGCAAATTTGTGATGTGCAGGGTCATCGCCGCCCGTGTCTCTGGCGCTGCAGCACCTGCAGGCGAGCTGCGGCGAGGCCAGCTCTCCCAAACGCGCGGCGCTGCCTGATGCGCTGATACGTGGTCTCAAGTTGCCATCCGCCTGCCAGGCCGACCCGCCGGTCTACATCCCTAATCTACAGGAGGAGACCATACTCGCCGTGAGCATCTACCTATCTTAGCACATATGTGTCATTATCTAAATAAAAGTTGTCGTTAGCAGACGTTAGATGTTACTAGCATACACATTGACTTACATTGTAAGTCAATGAGCATACAAGAACCATTTTCCCGACACGCAAATTTAGTCACGCTACTCTGTCTTTATTTATTTAAATAGTTAAACTCTTGATCACACTACCTAGCCCTAGAAATTGACTGTTGTTACCCCTACTTGCGTACCTTCCTTGATCGATTAACATCGTTATACACTCCAGGAGGAGCACAGCAAGGTGTTTTCGCAACTAAACTTCGTACTGATGCTGGCTGAGCTACTGTCCGACCTTGCTGTGTCCTGTGGCGCGCCCATCGCCGCGCTCATGGACGCTTCCGATGGTACGCTTCCATTGCATTAATAACGCCATAACAATATTTCACATTATAAATATGCAATACTTACGATGACACATACTTATACTGCACGTGCAATCATTACTGTGGTCGATTAGCTGAAGGCGTAAACATAGATTATCACCACAATAATAGTAAGCTCCGGCAAGTAGAATAATTTCACCAAGCCAGTTTACATCGTTGTAGAGCGGTGCAACGAGAGCGTGCGACTCGGTCTACTTGTGCAGGCCATGCAAGCGTTGGCGGCAGGCCTCCGCCTCGCCGCCGCTCACTACCGCAGCCGCACGCTGCAACCCACACCGCAAGTGCGCAATGGTATGGACTCCAATTTTTTTTATTCATTCTATTTATGATTTTGTAACAACTTCATTTGTCAAGTTTTGACAAGTGGCATACTATAATGTGACATTACAATGAACCACTTCTAATACGCTTTAAATAGGTATCAAAAAAAAAATGAATAATATATTATCTTTGCAGTGGTATCCCTAATGAACACCAAGTACAAGTGGATAGTGAACGAGTCGCGACGGCTCCACGAGGCGGGCGTGGCCCCCGCCGTGTGCGACAAGATCCTGTATGAGCACGCAATCGAGTTATGCCAAATGGCCGCCATAGAGGAACTCTTCGGAGATATGAAAGAATGCGAGCGCCGCTACATGTCCGCACAAGTACTGCTGCATTCGCTCGTACAACGCCACCCGCTGCATCCGCATCATCGCACCACGCTTTCCAAATGTACGTTTACCAATATAATTGTACTTATGCATATACCTAATTCCCGTCGTAATAGAGGTGGAAGATATAACAGTGAGGTAGTACTAAAAATTGTATCTTTCATTTGCAGACCGAGATGCCGTGCAAAGGCGGCTCAACTGCCTCAAGGGGCCGCGTAAAATAATGGATGTCAAACTCGAGGCCGGGATCTCATAATGCAATACGCGATAGCCATTAGTAATAAGCACATACTAGCAAGATGGGAAGTGATTTTATTTTGTTCTCAAATACAGACTCGCTGTGAAAAATAATTATAAATAATAAAAAAAATGTAAAAAAGGAATAAGTGAATGATATCAATTATAAATCATATTGTACCTATACAATTATTTTAACGACGAAGATTACCAGAGCAGAGATTGCAATAGTGAATTATATTTTTTTATATCCAGTAAGTACATACATTGAGAGAAAGTGGAGATCTAAACAGATAAGGTGTTGAGGACTGGGAGTGTAGGACCTTTAGTGTGAGCTAACTTTAGTAACTACTTGGAAACGAAATCATAGATTTAGATGTGTGTTTTTCAACCCCTCTTAAATAAATGGTTGTATCTTCGTAACACATATAAAAGTAGTACAAGTTTCAGAAAGTGGATGACGTCATAACTTCTGAGTGACAATGCTTTTCATTTTATATTATATATTTTCTTCTGTGAACCATTTAGAAGTGAGCATAAACATAAAATCTAAAAAAAATATAAACATAGAATAGAAAACGTAGTATTGTTTCCAAATAAGTCTCATAAAGATTAACATTATTACCAACTTGTAGTGTGTATTATGTAATTGAAAATTATGAAGTAATATCTCAAAATATACATATAAAGAATGCTATAGAGATCTCATTATCGACCAATAACAATATGGCATTTTTAGGTTAAGCTACGAATTACGTTTTAAACTAAAGTATTTTCTCGAAAAAATGGTAGCATGAATGATTTTGTGTTTACTCATACTTTTAAAATTACTTTGCCAAGTTGTGATCATATTATTTGTGTATTTCCTCCTTGATAATGTTCAATGCTTTACTGAAATAAGAATAAAGACTGTTGTATTATAAAATTATTTCGTTTTGTTGTAATAAATACTTATTTTTAACATCATGAAAATCCGAATATTATTTTTATATCCTAATTTTTCACCAAGTAGTATTTATTATCTATGAATTCTATGGCGACGTGGGATAGAACAACTTACAAAAGATACAGACAAAAATTTTACCTTTTCCCAGTTTCTTTATTAAACTTTTTGTAAACATATTATTATTATAGTAGGTTTCTTCAGGATATGGAGCCTATTTTCAATACTGCACAAAAACACCAGACCCTTGTTTCAAATACTTGTAAGGTTTGCTCCTGTTGCGGCCACGGACTGGTCTAAACATAACTTTGTCGGGCGGGAACTCCGACGATCCAGTAGTTTCCAAAAGTATGTCGAGACAAGTCAGTAACTTAGCCATTTGCGCAGAAAGAGTATACTTCTTGTGATCTAACCCCCAATCAGTGTTAACTACTCTCTCAATGTCTCTGATGTCATCATTGATACCAGCGTGATGATTTCCATTCCAATGCAAAGTTAGTGAAAAGATCGGAGCTTTCGTTGGATAATCGCTCCTTAAAGCGACTAACGCCACTAACTTTGCCGATTGACGAGTAATAATGGCCCTATACAGCATATCATTGGCACTAACCAAACCTTCAGATATAAGGAAAGCTGTTGAAGGAGATTGACTGTATTCAGGCCAAGCAACTGATTGCCATTGAGTCAAAGATCCTGACACTCTGATAGGACAAGGGGCACTTTGTTTGTCCGGGATAATCTTACCAGATTCCAGATCTTGTAATTCCTTCATTAGTTCTACTCTAGACTTTAGCCGTTTTTTCAAAGTCAAAATAAAATTTTCGACTGTAGTTACACTCAGATTTTGACTAGGTTGAATGACTCTGTTTGTTTTATGATCATCTAAAAGAGCTGCCATAAAGTCCAACCCACACATTCTTTGAGCCCATATGTATGGCCGGCCAATTTCTGGTATGAATTGCTGAAATTCGTCAATTATACCAGCAGCACTGAGCAGATATGCTGTACCAGAATGTGGGGAATCACTGCCCGTATCTCCTGGGTAGAGCTCATTTAAAATGCAGTGTCCATTTAACACATCTGCTGCTGAAACTCCCACCACAGGCTTCATCAATGAGACAGTAAACTTTACCACGACAATCTTTAGATGCAGTAGATATGAGAAAATTAAAGTGAGGCCAGTGCCATCTTGCACTTTAACAGTAACTTGCACATTGAGTGGATGCTTCCTAAGAACTTCTTTTTTCTTTGCTTCAGCTTTCTCTTCTTTCGATATTTTTGCACTTCTGTGGTGGCGTTTTTTCTTCTCTCTGGTGTCATCATCATTAATGTCTTGATCAGAATCGGAGTCATTCGACACAACAAGTTCTTGTTCTACATTATTTAATTGGTCCAATCTTCTTGCTTCATCTTCATCACCAGATATGGCTGAAAATGTACATCATTAGTTTCTCAGCAATTGTAATTACAAAAATATTATTGTTGTTAAATTCACACATACCTACAGTGACGACCTTAGTGCCTAGTACATCGGAATATGCACTAGAATTAGCATAGAGTAAGAATAAGGGTGCTGGCAGTAATGCAGCTGCCCTTGCTTCATCTCTCTTCTCATCTAGTCTGAGTGCTAAGCACTCCTGCAAAGGTTTAGTAGCTTTCAATACATCTTTAAGGTGTGGTGCTAAGGCATCAAGTCGCGATCGCGCTGCTGCAATCGCAGCCGCCACACGTTCCTTTGAAGCAATAAGTTCATTGCACGACGCCGCAAGGTCGCGTCGTTGGCGTAACTCCCACTCCAGCCTAGCAAGTTGAAGCTGATGTTCATCTATTTTTGTTATTTCCTGTAAGACACCAGTAACACATTTAATTTAATATGTATTTTTACTGAGGGTAAAATCTCTGACAGCAAACATACTTACAGGACGAGCTATATCAGCAGGTGCATTCTTGTAAAAGTCTTCGAGTGGAACAAGTTCAATCTCCTCATCCTTAGACTTGAATTGCAAACATTTAGTAACTTCTTTATTGAGGTGATCAGCCTCATACAACAGGTTTTGGAGCAGCAAATGTGTAGAGTCCACTCTCTGTTTTTCCTTGTGCAGTGCTTCACGACCAGCTCTAGTCCGGACCTTTTCTAAACGGTTGAGTTTCTTCAGAGCAACTAAGAGTAAGGAAGCTTCTACTCTTTTTGCATTTATTTTCTCCTTGGCCTAAAATGTTTTAGTGTTATTTTTACATTATGTTGGATAGTAGACTTAATAAAGGAAGTAAAATCTTTTACATGTTTGCTTTGTTATGGACTAATAGCTAGGTGCTAAAGATTGCAATATGTGGAATAAATTGAAGGGCCTATATAAAGGTGAAAACCTGACGAAAAGGCTGCCAACTTTGTTGGTGAGTAAATTTAAGTAATATTATTGATTAAATTTATTGACATGCACACATAATATTACCATTAGGTATATTATAATTACCTACATTAATCACATAATACTATTAAATAATATGACTTACTTCGTCTGTATCCCTTGCTTTCAAGTCAGCAATGTCAGCAAAAAGTTGCCGCACATCTTGGCATATTTTCTTAAATAAGTAGGCATCTTTCTCAGGTGGACGCAACTTTGCTTCTGTTTCCTCAAACTCCACAACACGCTGATGATTAAACATGAGGATTATCAAATATTTTTATATTAGCACTGATGGAGACAGTTTTACATGACTGAATTTGATCAGTACACATAGCTGAAATGAGAGAGTGGCTTGAAATAAGTAAATATGCTTTACTGAATTAAAAATTACACGCGCATTTTCTACAATGTTGTCACTGACAATAAACCATGAAGTTTCACCACATTCTCCCCTAGCATTGGTAATCCTCCGGGTAAGCTGGTGGTCGCCTCTCTCGTGCGGATCTTCGGGCAGGAGGGGCTTCGGGTGTAGGCATTGGAGTTTGCGCTAAAGGTTGTGGCAATCGATTTTGTGCAGGGGTGGGTTCCGTCGTAGATGTGGAAGGAGCCGGGTCCCGCTCGCCGTTCGGCGCAAGGTGTCTGTTAATTACGGTGACTTCTCGACCATCAAGAAGGCATACGAGGCTGTAATTTGGGTTCGGTTGCAACAGTTCTACTTCTTCCACAAACGAGTCATATTTCATTCTATTAAAGTTCTTCTTCAGAATTTTATTGCCTGGCTGAAGCCATGTGGGCATCGATTCGCCAAATGTTGATCTGAGAGGATGGGTAAACATGCGTTCGTGTGGAGTCTCGTTTGTTGACGTACATAGTAACGATCTTATGGAGTGAAGAGCTTGTATGACTACAGACTCCCACATCGTAATCGGTCGCTCGTTAGCACGGAGTGCCAATTGTATGGCTTGCCAGAGAGTGCCGTTGAGGCGTTCTACCTGACCGTTCCCACGTGGGTTATAGGGAGCAGAATTGCTCAGTGCTACTCCTTTGCTATTAAAGAACTCTCTTAGTTCTGGAGATACGAATGACGATCCGTGATCAGTATGAATGTAATTCGGCGAAAAGCGAAAATATATCGGTCAAGCATTTAATAATAGTTTTTGCACTCGTATCAGGACAAGTACAGATACAGATATAAGCAAAAGGAAATCTTGAATATTCATCAATAATCGTCAACAAATACTTATTATTAGTAGTTGTTGGTATAGGTCCTATAAATCCAATGACAGTCTTTCAAAAGGAGCTGAGGCTTTTATCAGATTTCCCGTACATTTTAAGAATCTGGGCTTTATTTCCGAACAAACTCAACAGCTTGATACAACTTTCTTTATCTCTTCAATAGAGTATGTAAGTACTTTTGTCTGACTAGGTGTGTAAGATGAGTAACGCCCGGATGACACAGAGACCGATGTAACGTGACGAGTTTATCTGTTGTGATTGCACCACAAATTTGTCGCGATAGCGCATCAGCCACGACGTTATCCTTGCCGGGACGATATCGCACGTCATAATTATAATTAAATAGCTCTAGTCTCCATCTTTGATTTTTATCGTTCTTTATTTTACCTGCGTGGTTTTGCAACATGAATCTGATTTTTGGTCAGTTATAAGATAAAATCTACGACCAAGGAGATAATGCCTCCACTTTTTCAAGCTCTCGACAATTGCACAAGCCTCCTTTTCTATAATCGGGTATTTCTTTTCACAGTTACTGAGTGTTCTAGAGCAGAATGCAATGGGCCTCCCATTTTGAGTAAGAGACGCTGCAATAGATGAGTCTGAAGCATCAGTTCCAACAGTGAAAGGTTCTTTCGGATCAATAGCTGAGAGGGACACCTTGGATATAATAAGTTTCAACTCTTCAAAAGTGTTCTTATGTATGTTACTCAACGGGAACTGTTCTACGTTTGTGAGTGATTGAAGTTTCCTTGAGAAGTTAGGGACCCATCTTGAATATTCAGCGAATAGGCCAATAGCTCGTCTAAGCGATGGTGAATCTTTAGGGACTAAATATTAAATATCAAGTAGAGCACTTAATCTTTGAGGATCTGGTTTAACTATACTGTTTGCTATTCTATAGCCAAGTATATTTATCTCTCGAGTGGAAAATTCGCATTATTTTTTTGTTTATTGTAAGCGAATAATAATCAGCAATCTCCAAAAATTTCTTAAGTCTCTCGTCGTGATCAGCTTCATCCATACCGCATACAGTGATATCATCTAAGTATGGATACACTCTGCTTAGATTAGTCTTTCTGATTATAGTATCGATTGACCTTTGAAAGCGTGCTACTCCGTTTGTGACGCCGAAAGGTATACGAGTAAACTGATAGAGATTGCCGCAAGCTTCGAAGGCGGTGAACTGCTTGTTTGAGTCCAGGATTGGTATTTGGTGATAAGCTGATTTTAAACCAATTTTTGAAAATACTTTCCATTTCGCGACCTTAGCTACGACATCTTCAATATTAGGGAGAGGGTATACATCTAGGTATGTGAATTTATTGATTGCGAATAATCTATACACATACGCTTCTTGTGGGGTGTTCCAGAGGTTCTTGTGGGGTTACCAAAGTTTGGGCCCGCCATGGTGAAGTACTTTCTTCTATTATTCCTTCAGAGAGGAGACTTCGAATTTCAGATTCTATGAACACTAAATCGTCAGTGGAGTGCCTTCTTGATTTTACAGCTATAGGTGTACAATTAGGGCTTAGGTGCAGAGAGAGGTTTACTGGTTCTATATTCGCTTCTTTTAATGCAGATATAGTCAAAGAGGGTTTGGGTCCATCAAATTTAATCTCTAATGAGGAGCATTGTGCCACGATGTCGTGTCCTATTATAACATCAGACTGTAGATTCTCCATGACGCGAAGTAGCGTATTTGGATATACACTTCCATTTAACTGTATAGACGCATAACAGGCGGATGTTATCTGAGATTTTAATACTTGAGAAGCCACTGATACGTTTTGTTTCCATGAACGTGTTGGAATATTGTACCTTTGTAGAACTTTTTGTCAACAAAACTTGCTGTACTCCCAGTGTCGATTAGGGCTTTGACATTTATCCCATTTAGCTTTATTGGGATTACACATCTATTCAAGCCAACTGTAGCTACAAATAAACTAGACAAGATCGAATATCCCTCTTCTGCATTTGCAGTAGATGCTGAAGTTTGACTCCGACGTGATATAGCGAAATGCCCTAGTTTCCCACACTTTAAACACGTGCTGTTAGCTGCAGTGCAAAACCGACGTTGATGTCTAACAGTTCCGCAGTAGTAACATTTCTCAGCTAGATTATCTCGTGTATATGTATAGTTGGGCTTTATTTTTATTGACGCTATTGCTAACAACGGCAGTATGAGATGAAGCATCAGCATGAGACGGAGCATTAAAACTTACAGATTAAATCTCCGCAGACTCTAAAGTGCTCTTTGTTCCGAGCTTCATCCAGAGTTAATGTTAGATTTTCTAATAGTCGCTGACGTATTTGCAGTGATGTTAAGCGCACGAATAGGTTTCACAAGATGCTATCATTTCATAAATTGTCGGTGATACATAATTGATCAGAAGTTTAAGCTTTACACTGTCTGAGTGATCCATTTGTCCAATTTCCGTAGTTGGTCTTGATTCCTGAAGAAAATTTTCGAATGTTTTTCTCCAATGCAACCATTGTTGTTGATATGAAACATTCGACGTCGAATCAATTTTTAATCGATCGGGTTTTAAATATTTATACATTTCGTTCATTCTCAACTTTTAATTTAGTAAATTGAAATGAGAGAGCGCCTTGAAATAAGTAAATAGACTTTAGTTAATTAAAAATTACACGCACATTTTCTACAATGTTGACACTGACAATGAACCGTGAAGTTTCACCACAATAGCGAAATTAAGTACATTTTCTAATGAAGTTCTATTGTAAACACAGAATATTATGGACTAATAACAGTTACAATATGTTTAATTGCTGAAATTGTACAAGTTTAAACTAGAGTTAGGGGTGATTTTGATGATGCTTACATATTATGACATGTTTACATATTAACACATTCATGGACAGTTCGTAAATAGTACCGCACACAAAAATGTCGCTACTTTTCTTGCCTTAGTGTTTATATTGATTCAATATAAAATGTTTAATATAAATAATGTACAGTCGATAGTTTTTTGGGATCTATATAGCGAAACAAGATGACTCGTATTCATCTCGTATTATTCAGATATTTCATGTTACTTCAACTTCAACTTTTGTGTCTATGGCTCCGTCGTTTTGCGCGACGATTTTGCCAAACGCCGTAACTTTCAGTATGTATGTATGAGGTGACAGCATTGCTCCTAATGAATGTATAAACATTTAATATTAAACGACACCTTTACGTAATGTACATTACAATTCAAAGTAACTTTAGACTTAATTTTTATAATTTTGATAATAATAGTATCGTTATTGAATAGCACAGGTTACACCTAGTTTGGGCTCCTGTCTCCCATTTTCATGCTCTATTTAAATTTATTTTTACATCTATCTTGTACATTTTGGGAGAAAAATAAATGATATTATTATTATTATTATTATACATATTTCTTTAATTTCATTCAACAAAAGTAAGAATACTACTAATGGCGAAAAACACTTACATTTAGAACGAGAAAGAAATCACAAACCTTGTAAACATCAACAGGAACTATTTGTTTTGAAGTATCACTTGAAGAGCTTGTATTCAGTTTGCGCCGCTTCTTTGTAGACGTTTCGTCCTTCCCCATAATTATCAAATGCGCACGTACACTTACACAAATACAATGGCTTTTGTTTTTTGAAAAAAATATTTAACCTAAAATATACAACCTAGCCGCAGAACGCTATACTCACGAGGAGTTCATACAATACAACGAATACAACCACAATACAACAAAGCAGCATTGATTTCTTCTTTTTTTTTTTAAATTTATTGAGGCTTTGGCTAAGCCATCAGCGTAAACGTGACAACAGCATTTAATGTTATTTCCATAATCAAATATCGAAATGTCAAGTTTATCAAGCATAAGCGCTCAAGCGTATCTCGGTTTGTGCGCTCTACCGAGCGCACAAACCGAGTGTTGGGTCATGAACTTTTTCAAATCATATTTTCAGAAATATATATACTTTTTAATACTGTTGCTCAAAATGTGGTATTTTTCGCACTACAAATCGTGCGGAAAGTTGGATTTCTCGCACTAGTGCTTTATACTTTTCCAGTTTTTTTTATTTACTGTTGTTTTAAGTCTTAAACATAGAACTAAAGAGATTGTATATTTATTTCATATTTATGTGCTTTGTGACGTAAGTCATTCGTCATTACTATACTATATCTATGGAGAGACCGCATTTTTACACCTATGAAGTAAATGCTCCTTAGTAGCGATTATGTAGAAAATAAAGTAATATAAAATAGTAATTTTAATGTGACTGAATACTGGCAACAGTTGCCATATTGAAAAAGTCGGCCAAAAAAAGTACTAATTTTTTTCATCGTTTACATTCACGATTTGATTTTGTTATTGACAAAGGAATAAAATGAGGTTTTTTTTAAATACTGTTTTATTTTACTTTCAATGTAGGTTTTTCGCAAATGTATTAAAAAACGTTGTTTGATACACATGCGGATTTGTCATTTTCACGAGTCTCGAGGCATCTTGGCCCGAGCCAGAGGCGAGGGTCAAGACTCGAGACAAGTGAATAATGACTAACTTTCCGCACTTGTATCAAAAATAACTATTTCCGGATATTTTTCCAATTATTCCTTTATATTTTCATATTTGACGTCTTAGAATAATAACGCATAGAAACCTAGCCCGCACACGCTAAGTGAGGCAAGTTAGAGGGTTCCAAACGCGTCCCAGGAGCGCGCGGGCTGTTAGTGCTCAAGGTCATATTGCACCGCGAACAGCTCCAAAATTTTTTGCTAAAAATGACGAAATGTGCGGTAAATGGGTGTAAAAATACAACAGACAAACATAAAATAGACACTAACATCGCATTCCACAAGTAAGTAATGCGTTTCAACTCATATTTTTATGTAAATATTCACTAAAACAGAAAAATAATTTCGCGGCAACAAGATACGAAAGTGTTGCAAAGTAACGAATTTTTTTTCTCCCCATTTTGCTATTCTGTATCAAAATAATTATATTAGGTAAATTTTAGTGGTGCCTGTAATTTAGATTTATTTGCGCATCTTGAACTAATATTTAATTTAATAAACATTAAATGTTTTCGTTAACTCCTGTAAGTGATTGGGACACTTAATTATTTTATAATACTTTTAACGGCTCTGTGTTCATGCTTTATTGAATAATTATTTATTTTAATTTTATTTGAATTGGAGCACATATTGCAACAAATTTACAGTACTTATATATTTGTTTCTACTATAGTGTTGGCACCACCAGTACAACTTTGATAGCTTATTATATGTCTTTCTTTTCGTAACTCAAGCGAAATATTTTATATTAAAATATTTTATTTTCTTAAAAGGGGAGCATTCTTAAGCGATTTTTTAATCTATTTTAACAGTTATTTTCTTTAATGTTTGCTTATGACATTTTCGGTTTTAGGTTTCGAATATGGCACTTATTTCTAAATCCAAGATGCGGGCGCGATTTTTCGAATAATGGCAAGTTGGGTATCGTTTTCGAGATGTTTGGGAATGTTCAATACAAATATGGCACTCATTTCTAAATCCAAGATGGCAAACACGACAGTTCAAACAAAAGCAATATTCGTAATGAGCACCCCCAAATACCTCGAAAACGATACCCAACTTGCCATTATTTGAAAAATCGTGCCCGCCATCTTGGATTTACAAATAGTGCCATATTCACATTGAGCATCCCCAAATACCTCGAAAATGATACCCACATAGCATTTTTTTGAAAAAATCGTGCCCGCCATCTTGGATTTAGAAATGAGTGCCACATTCGTAATGAGCACCCCCAAGTACCTCGAAAATGATACCCATATTGCATTTTTTTGAAAAATCGTGTCCGCCATCTTGGATGTAGAAATGAGTGCCATATTCGTCATGAGCATCCCCAAGTACCTCGAAAATGATACCCATATTGCATTTATTTCAAAACTCGTGTCCGCCATCTTGGATTTAGAAATGAGTGCCATATTCGTAATGAGCATCCCCAAATACCTCGAAAAGGATACCCATATAGCATATTTTGAAAATCGTGTCCGCCATCTTGGATTTACAAATAAGTGCTATATTCGTTTTTCATCGACAAAACCGAGCACATCTGTAGGCACCTGATCGACAATGTCGGGCAAATCTGTAGGCACCTTTAACTTAATGATGAGTTAAGCAAGATACAATTTCCCCACTTTTGAGGGAAATGTTATTCCATGGCATCATTATTTGTATATTTGTGTGCGTGCCGACGAGCGTACTTACAAGTTGCTTACGCCTACATGAATTTGGTTTTTGCCTCACTTGTGACAGTTCGTTTGATATGAAACTATCATTCTATGCGTTATTATTCTAAGTTTGACGTTAACACCCGAACGAAAATGTTGGAGCCAGCAACAAATTGTGGAGGTGTGGTTATTGGAAGATTTTTTCGCTGTTGTGAAATAATTTTAAATCGTTTTTCTATTATAAACAAGTTTATTTTGAAATATAACTTCAAAAGATTTAGATCAGAGTTTAGATCAGAAAGCAATAAACATATTACAAAATGTTAAGGTAAATTTCATTAAATTTGAACAAAACTCGATTTACAACAAATATTTAGTTGTAAATAATTTTTGCCCTCGATTTCGGATATTAATGGGTTTAAACCCGATTAAAACCAGATATTACCATCTATAAACGATTTTACTCCATTTTCTGCCGGTAAACAGTTAGTGCGCTAAATTCAAAATCGGAGAGAATTTAAATTTAAATTTTTAATTATCAATCCTTTTCTCTGTGTGCATTTTTTTCATTTAACGAAATATTAAACCATCAATGATGGCGCCTCATCAAAATTATTATTATATCAATTATTTAGAGAAACGCCTAGTATACCACCGTCATCGGCAAGGTAACACGAGTTATAAGCGTGCAACGTAGGCAACGTAGGTAGTTAACGTCATTTTACATTTGCTAGAGAAACCGGATAGTTGTTCGTGACCAAAGCGTGCATTATTTATCACTCGGCATAATCAACAAAGCCGACGTTAATAAATATACTCTTAATCGCTTTAACAAACTTTTAAGTCATAACTTTCTTTATTACGATCATTAAATATTTTTCACTTTTCAATCGTAGAATAACGGTTAAAGATGTCTGGTAAAACGGAGCTCCGTATTGTGACCTACATGTGCCCTACGCACCCAGTACAGCTGTACGAATTAATCATGGACCTGCTGGAATCCGCATTGGACTGCTATACCACACTTCAATATGAGAGCCGCACACCTGGTCCCTTCCCGGACCGCCCAGATCCGTTCAGTAATGACAAAGTGGATTTGGGTAAGTTTTAATTAATCTACCCTCCCTAAGTAAAATTCGTTATTAAAAACAAATTGCGAATAAAATAAGTTTTCTCTATTATTTTATTTATATGGTGAGCAGCTGCTGATTACCATCATAGGAGTTTCAAAAAAAGCACGATAATATTTTAACGTACAGAGCTTTTTTTAAACCTTTTTTATATTAAGAAATAAGCGTGCATTTGACCACCATCTTAATAAGATGAGGTCGACAATGGAGCATGCATTCATAATAATAAGTTTTATGGATATACGATAGGCACCGATGCAAATTGCATTGTAAGATTTCGTCATCTTGTAGGTATATCTAAATGTTATTGCAATCTTAACTTTTGAATCAATCCACATACACACCACTGCTAGACACAGAACATATATCTAGATATGTGTCTGTGGCTAGACACGTATTTCTCGAAGGTAAGGGAAGAGAAAGATAATATTTTCTCCAACTAGGTAATCTTAGCGTATCGACAAATAAGTAAGTTAATGAGGGACCAATACATTCAGAAATAAAATCAGTGATTTTAGAGATACATATTGTTTTTTATCCATGTATGTACGAACTTTTCAGCTTTTATGACGGCTGCATCGTATATGATTTTGAGGGATAGAAAAAATCCGTCTGTGGAGTTGCTGCCGGTGACGCCAGTGTTCGCGCATCAGATGAACGTAGAGAACAAACCGGGTTATTTCTGTGACATTATTATCCATAGCGATAAGAAGTAAGACATAAATACACATAATATAAAGCAAAAAGTCGCACATTATTTTTGCGTGATTGTGTCTAAATGTGCAATTGGTACTTAAAACGTCGAATCCGTAAAAAATTTACGTTTATACATGAAATAATAAAACTGCCATATTATTTACAATAGATTACTAATCACTTTCTGAACTTTGTTACCATTGCCTAAAAGTAAATAATGAAGATAAATTACTGTTATCATTATCAGCCTGCCATTGACTCCTGATAAAACGATTGCTTCTATTATTCTACAGTTGACGCCCAGACGGCAACTATCGAACTAGTAACGGTTAATTATTACGACATTTGAATTTCCAGAGCTCATAACGTAAATACTCTTCTGGATTTACGTGGTTGTACATTCGCGTACAGCGACGAGGAATCACTAAGCGGAAGCAAACTGGTACTAAAAACGTTGAAAGAGAAGGGAGAAAATGCTTCTTTCTTCGGATCGCTATTAAGTCAGTAATGAAGTGTATAAATAAGGGCTATTAAAAAATAGGCACAAAACTAATACCATTTCATTATTTCAGAATCCGGCTCTCATTGGGCTTCAGCTCAGATGGTTCTCTCTAAACAAGCTGAATGGGCGGCTCTCGACTCCACAACTCTACTTTATTCTAAAAAGTATATGCAAGACGGCGGAAAAGATATCACGACCTTAGAAACGCTTGGTCGTCTCCCGCCATACCCAATAGTAGTCAATTCAAAATTACCAGGTAGATAGTCACATACTTATATAAATTTAATCCTGTGTTCAATTCAACTTCAACATAGTAATTTTTCAGAGAAACTAAAGAAGTCCATAACAAATGCTTTACTTACATTACCACAAGATGCCGCATGGAAGAAAAAGTTTGCAAAGTTCGGAATAATAAAATTCGACAATAACAGCGATGGCGCTTACAGTGGGCCGGCTGCACAGATGCGGACCTCGAGTGAGAAACTCAACATTCGGTATTATTAGAGTGCTATTAGTAATCTCTCTAATTTATGTTATTTACATTTTGTATATTGATTACAAACCTAAATAATACTATTTGTTGAATTACAAAGAAAAAATGTATTTATTGACAAAAACTGTTTATAATACGTTAAAAATACAATTTTATATTATGTCAACCAAATATTTCAGTAAAAGGGTAAATAAATTTGTGCAATATATAATTGTGTTGTTTGTGGTTTTCTTCAGTGATTGGTAATTGGTAATATTTTTGGGTCTTGTTAAGGTAGGTAGGTACTGTCAAAAGCTTTTGAACATTCCATATTCACTCTTTAAATTTAGGCACTAGTTTTTACAATGTAAAGAGACAAAACTTGTTTCCTCTTCTTTCCTAAAATACCTTTTGGTATTCTTAAGTATGCCATGGTTTTGGGTTTTTGTGTAGGAACTTTAAGGCCATCATTAGATTTCTGTAATAATTACAAAAATATATATTTACTTCACAAGGCTTGACTCACTGTGATGAAATAAATAATTGCTCATTGCGTACTACTTAGCAATAAAACAAAAGAGTGTCAAATAATAGGTTTTTAAAACTTAGTTACAATTTTCATCAGCAATGTTGTTAAACTACAAGCATTATTGTATTTAAGGTACATTTCATTCTTAATATTAATAATAATAAATGAACAATTGCAATTTATATTCAGGTACTACAGACTGCTTTTTTCTTGCAATCTTATTTTTTTCATATATAGTTGTTTAATAAACTCTTTGAGACAGTTGTTTTTGACAACCATATAATTGTAGACTGAAATGTACCATTAAATGCAGATTCTGGAAATAAAAAACAAACTAAGTATAGCTAAATAAATACTGTGCTTGTTATCAAGGTCTATGTTCAGAATCGCACCATATTCTACAATAGAATATTTATAGCAATAATTATTCGAAAACTAAACTACTCCGCCTCCATTGATAGTGTTAATTTCCTCCTCAGTTAAAGGTTGTCTTCGGTAGCGTGCCGGCAGGTCTATATCAGGAATGGCGGCTGTGCTCATTGCAGCTGCAGGCTGTACTTGCTAAAATATAAAACAATAAATTGTCATCATATTTAATAACTAATAAAATAAATAGGTACTAATAGTGTGATGTTGCAACATTGTTACGAAACAATACGACCTATTAAACAACTACATGGATCGGGTCAGATTGTGTAACTTTTATCGTACACATTAGTTGGTTCATAAATGCTATTGTTATCTAATATATTTGTGACATCACACGTACTGAAGGCGTTTGTGCCGCAGCTGCCGCAGAAGCGGCGGCTGGCGCAGCAGCACCCGCGCCCGAGGAAGGCGCCGCAGGTCTTCCTATTCCACCTTTGCGGAATTTTATAACAGGAATACGTGCAAGAACTGCTGTTAATCCTACCATATTTGAAAAAATTTACAAAATACACTTATAACCCGAACTAATGTATAGGTATATAACTAATCGAACAGAAATTTTTAATTTTTTCACGTCACTTCACTTCACTTTTTATTTTTATGGCCCATTAAAAATTATAATCAGACAAATGTCAGCTGTTGGTTGTTGTTTTTTCTTTCAATTCTTTCCGTAAAGGAAAAGGCAAAGGTTTTACACCATACAGTTGGCTGTATGGTGTAAAACCTTAAAAAAGAAAATTTACCAAGACTTGGGCCTTGGTAAATTTTTCTTCTTATTTTTAATGAAAAACAGGTACAATTCCATTTTTTCTAGAGGCATTAAGTGCGACAATACACGCCCGTTTTTTCCATCCGATAGTCTGATCCGACTACCGGAAGGCGCTCGTACAGGGTCAAGAGCACGTCAAGCTTGACACTAAGGTTTAAATTTAACTCTATGCCGCTTGCAATATGAACGGTCCAAAGTGTCAAGCTTGATGTGCTCTTGACTGTACCATATAATTGTATGAACACTCAATAGACGTCCGATCCGATTATTGGATCGGACGTGACGTGGCGTCCGAGTCGGAAATAGCGTCCGATTTTATTACCGATCCGATTGTCTGAAAGCGCGCTCTCTATACTTTTGCGAGGAGACGAAATATACGTCCGATTCTTCCCTGCGATTTGCAGCGTTGCTAATGCAAATTATCCAAAATCCCCAAAGATTAAGATTATAAGTTTGGGGAGAGCAAAGGTCATATTTCCCACATGTAATAATATTTTTTCATTCTCAGTCATTGACTTACAAATAAATTCTCAGTATTTATTATAAATTTTTTTTAATTTATTAAGGCTTTGGCAAAGCCATCAGCCTAAACATGAAGTTTAATTATGTTTCTGTAAGTATGGCCGCCACAAAGAGGATAGGCAATTTGAGACGGCGGCGGCGTGCTTGAATTGACTCGGGATTCCTTAAAACGGGCCGATACGGGTATTTTAGTTCGAGATTCGTATAATTTCGCGTTTTAATCTCCGATTAAGGCACAATAGCACTATCCTATTCCAATCCGATTTCACAAAATAATTGAAAGTCAAAATAAAAACGACACTTTTCCCTCCAAAATACCCAGAGCGAATCTTATTATATTATTAATGTTACGTTTAAAAATATATAAAATATGAAAGTTTTATCACCCAGTTAGTTATCTTTACAGTTATCAGCCCTGGCGAGAGATGTCGCTATTCACTGTATTTTAAATTTTTATTTAATTGATATTCAATTATTTTTTGTGAAATTATTACACTAGTTTCTTATAATTATTAAAACAAAGATCGAACACTCAGAAAAAATCCTTCTATCCGGCCAGTTTCGCACAGACGTCTTCTAGCTTACCGTGCCGTGCGTGACGCTATACCAAGTTTACTATACTTAGTTTAGAAGACGTGGGATCCCGGCCGGATCGAAGGATTTTTTCTGAGTGTTCGATCTTTGTTTTAATAATTATAACAAACTAGTGGAATAATTTCGCAAAAAAATTATTGAATACCAATTCAATAAAAATTTAAAATATATATTATATGCCCAAAAGCGTGGGCAGAAACAGCGAGTACGGAATTTCGTATAATTCCATACTTATTACAAAGGATGTATGCATAATGCGAATGTGTGCGTCTTTATACGGCGCGAAGACGCGAGTTTTGGCTAGTATCTAGTTTGTACGTTACACAATTGACCATAAAGTTCATTACGATATGTACAATATCGTTACAAAAATTCGCTTAAATTCCGTTCCGCCGCAATATAAATTAAGCCTTTTAGTTATTATATACATAGGAACCGACGAAATCGCGACTCTTTTAAGCACTATTCTTAAAGTAATGCATCCAAATTAACACCCTTGATAAGAAATTTCAAATAAAGAGAAAGTTTTGCCATCTTCTGAATAATCACTCTTTGTAAGAAAGAGTTTGAGAAAGTAAGGCATCGATTACATATTTAGCCGTTTAAAAAATAAACTTATTGAACAAAACGTAAAAGCAAGAGGCGTTTAGATACGAAAAGTAGTTTGAAGGTCTCAGCAAATAATACTATTAATTCTACATTTACACATTTACTGAACAAACAACTTACATTTATATTATGTAGATACATCATGCGACGAGTTTATATTTTACTTACAGTAAAAAATCTTCGAATTCAATAAATAATACAATAATTTCATTCACCGTCCACACAATACAGCCATCACATTCTTAAAATTATATTCACGAATTTGTTAATATTTTGTTGTAACATCTCTACATTGGGTATAACAATTTATTATTATTTTGCTCCATACTATCAGGTAAATGCGATAGTAGGCTAATCCTGAGCATATTTTAATGCTATAGAATTAGTGAAAACTATGTAAATGAATAGGCATGTGATTAGAATATGCTCATTTGAGCTTGTTTAGACGGGTCTGCGGAAATTTTTGCCGGCGTATTTGGCGTTGGCGCCGAGTTCCTCTTCGATGCGGAGGATTTGGTTGTACTTAGCCAGACGCTCCGAACGGCAGGGCGCGCCGGTCTTGATCTGACCGGTCGATAGACCCACTACGAGGTCGGCAATGAATGTGTCCTCTGTCTCGCCAGACCTGAACACAAAAAATGTTATTGTATGCATTTTTATTTACAGAATTCAAATTTGTTAATTGCTACAAACCTGTGAGAGACCATGGTGCCCCATCCGTTTTGTTTGGCCAGGAGATGAGCATTGATGGACTCGGTCACGCTACCAATTTGGTTTACTTTTAGTAATAAGCAGTTGCAGGCCTTCTTCTCAATAGCAGTCGTGATGCGCTTGGGGTTTGTCACCTAAGTATGAAGAATAATGGTTAAATCCGATCTCTATAATTGTAATCATGAAAAAAAAAAGAGTACTAACAGTAAGGTCATCTCCAACAATTTGGATTGGTGTTTGGGAAGTGAGGGTAGCCCAGGCGTCCCAGTGGTCCTGGTCGAAGGGGTCCTCAATGGACACTATTGGGAAGTCTTTGATGTACTCCAGATACAGTGCAGCAAGTTTATCAGCAGGCAGGTAGTCGGCTGGATTGGAGTTAGGATTCTTGAAGTCCAAATCATACTTTTCGTTCTTGAAGAATTCTGACGCTGCGACATCCATACCAATTTCAATCTGTGGACACATACGCTACGAGTCATTTCTCGATGAGTTTTAAAGTAACTTATAGATGAGTATTGGTTTTACATACTTGTTTTACGTATTAACCGATATGTACAGTCAACAGCACATAAAGCTGTACACTTTTGTTCAAATATCGCTTCCAGTGCAACAGAACAAGATCAGTCAATGTGTAGCTTGATGTGCAGCCGTCTGTACATTGTTGTTACATTGTTAGTTCATTGATTCCTATCAATGAACAATACATATAGTTACAGCAACAAGCACATATAATATTATTTTATATAAATTTCACCTTTCCAGCATATCCAGACTGCTGAATAGCATCCTGGATTAGAAACAGAGCGTCCTTGTTGTTGAGGATGTTAGGGGCGAAGCCTCCTTCATCTCCAACAGCTGTAGAGTCCAGACCAAACTTTTCCTTGATGATCTTTTTCAAGGTGTGGTACACCTCAGAGCCCATACGCATTGCCTCGCTGAATGATGACGCGCCTGAGTAAAACAATTACAATTAACAATACAATAAAGCTATATTATTTTTATAAATAGTATTTATGTTTTAAAATAATAATAATAGTATAAATTTGTGTTGCTAAACAATGTTTTTCCCCACATTTGCAAGGAAGTTTTAAAAAAGGATAATTATTAGACTTAATCATTTATATTAAAGTCTCGTTTCGTAGTATGCCACCGCAATAAAGCCATTATATCCACATTTAGCTATCAAATTCGAATAATAAACCAGCATTTAAAAATATTAGCACAATAGCTAACAGGGCGAGAATCGTGAGGTCACATTTTTGTATATATGTAATATTGTAATGGCTGCAAAAAAATATCGCAGTGCCAAACATGGCCATAAGATCACAGCTGATTTTTAAAAATTTCTATATAGTAATTTTATCAGCGTAAAAATTGAGCGCGACAAACGAGATGAAAAGAAATAATATAAACAAAGAAATTGATATATATGAGTATAAATTATTGGAAAAAGGTGAGATTAATATATATGAGTATAAATTATTGGAAAAAGGTGAGGAGAAACCTTGTATACAGTTCAATACATGAGAGTACTTATAAATAAGTAAATAATAACTAATTTAATATAAAATATGTAAAACCTGAAACTACAAAAACCATCGTTTGCGTGGCAATGATTAAACGACAAAGATATGCAATTTCATACCGTTATGTTAGAATAGTTAATTACCAAAATCAAATAAATGTTTTGCTTATATATTATTAAATTTTGAGTTACTTAATTAACTGTTACTTGTTCTATTCTATTCTATTTTTAAAAAGAAGGATGGCTTCTCTTTTAGAATTTTGCCAATGTCTAGTCAGTCATGGGAGCTACACTTTTATTTATTTTCCAATGTTTAAACATTTAACACTGCTCTTTAGTCTATTCCAATTGTGAAACAATAAAAAACGACACAATATAGGTACCATCACCATTAATGATATAAATATAATAAAAATAAATAGTGTTATAATTTAAGTTTGTTAATACTAATAAAATCAGTAATTAATTTCAGTAGGGGATTTGAAAAGACATATAGCAGAAACTGGAAATTTACGGGACGCGGAATGGACGATGGAAGACTATCGTAGATGGAACAAGTTCTGGAAGGGCAGCTGAAAAATATATGGTCTGGGGTACCTTCATCTAGGCCACATTCACAAATTGAGTTATCCCGTATTCTAAGTTTTGCCAGATGGACCGGGGTGCAGGCATGACCAAGGCGAAGTCGGCATATCGTAGAAGTTACAGATTTACTGAATCCTTTAAGGTTAAAAAACCAAGGTTTTTTGGGGATACTTATTTGGATGTCAGCATAGTACTTGCCCTTGATAAGCTTGATTTTATTCCACTCCTTGCTCTATGAGGAAAACATATCATTGGTAGCTAAAGGCAGGAGGTCATAGGTAAATGTCCTATAATGATTAAGGTAACCTGTTTGGATAGCGTTTTTCGCCAATATGTCTACGGTTTCATTGCCTTGGATCCCGCTATGACCTGGAATCCACGCCAATACAACCTGAATGTTATTACTATGGCATTGATACAAGACCTCCTTGATCTTCAGGATATTATAGAATTTACTATTACCAACAAATGGGTTTGCCAGAATAGCCTGTAAACAGCTTTTTGAGTCTGAAAAAATTATACTTTTGTTCAGTTTGTGAGATTCAACATAACTGAGAGCTTCAAGTAGGGCAGTAGATTCTCCTGTGAATATTGATGCCTGAGATGGGCATTTACAGTTCAGAATAATTTCATATTTTGGGATCCATACAGCTGCACCGACACAACCATCAGCAGCCAGCTTGGAAGCATCCGTATACATAGTCAACCAGCCCTGCCAGTCCTTAGCCAAGGCCTTATTAAACTGTCTGTCTGCAGCAGGGGAATCTTTGTAAATACCAAAGTCCAAGATTATCTCAGGTTTAAATATTATTACATCATAAAGACAAGAAAAAAGGGGATTTTTAGCGCATTGGAAAACGGGAGAATTGATTTTGATAAATTTGTGGTAACTTTTAAGAATGCAGGGTATATCTTTGATTTGCCAATATTTAGAAGATCTAGTTAGATCAGACAGTTCGTGAAGCTTGGCCAGAAGAGGGTGAGGAGATAGTTGCGCCACCTTGTACAAAAATCTATCAGCGAGAAACTGCCTTCTTAAAAAGAGAGGGGGTTCCACACACTCAACCTGGAGAGCATTTATTGGTGTAGACTTCATGGCTCCAATGATGAGACGGAGACACTTTGATTGGATTTTGTCCCACAAATTGAGGGCAGTTTTATGACACGGTTCCAATAAAAACGAGCCATAGTCAAAGTGACTACGGATTATGGCATTGTACAATATTTTTTGACAGAATGGGTGGGAACCCCACCAAGTGCCTGACAGGGAGCGGAGAATATTAATGTTAGTCTCACACTTTTTGGCAATAAAGTTTAAGTGAGTGACGCCCGTCAATTTGGAATCTAGTATGAGCCCCAGAAATTTGAAATTGTCAAAGATTGTTATACGCTGGTCTAGGATATTGACTGGAACTTGTGGGGTAAACTTTTTCCGGGAAAAAACCACTACACCACTTTTAGGGGCAGACAAAGAAAGACCATGGTCAGTTAGCCAATCGCCTAAGTACTGTAAAGCAGTATTCAGACGGAAATCGATGTCATCCAGTGACGAGCCGTGGGCATACATAGTCAGATCATCAGCATATTGGAGGATACTACAAAAACTGTTCATTGATCTCTCCAGATCATACGTATAAATATTGTACAGCAAACGACTGAGAACAGATCCTTCCAGACGTTCCTTGATGCGACAAAGTTTCCTTGGAAACGAAACAAGCATGTCCTACACGAGAAGAGATTAAAAATGAAATTGGTCAATCTTACCGGGATGCTCAGCTGATGCATTTTTTGCCTGAGCAGGGGAAGAATCACACTATCATAAGCAGCGGAAATATCCAAGAAAACACCAATCAGAGACTCATTCTTTGAGAAGGCCAGGCGAATATCAGAGACCAGGAGGCTTATGCTATCCATAGTACCGCTACCCTTCCTAAAACCAAACTGGCTTTTAGCTAAAATATCTCTATTTTCCAAGAGCCACTCCAACCGATTTTTAATAAGATGCTCCGTGATTTTCGCTAGGGTAGAGGATAAAGCAATGGGACGATAGTTGGAAGAGTCTGTAGCATTTTTGCCTGGTTTCAGAATAGGGATAACCACATGCGTCTTCCATTCCTCCGGAGGACACCCTGAGAGGAATATGGAGTTAATAATTTCTAAAAATGTCGTCTTAGCAGAAGTCCTCGCATTTTTCAAGAAGGAATATGGTATTCCATCTACTCCTGGGGAGGAGTCCTTAAGGTGGTCCAAAACTAGGAGCAGTTCTGAGAACGAGAATGGGTCATTCATACGATCTGGAGAAGCCGAAGTGGCAGCAAATGCAGAAGCCTCCTCTTGACTGGGGACCCATGGAGGGCACAGCTTGTTCACAAAACCATCAAGCCAACATGAAGGATCGAAGCTGGAGGGATCGTTATTGCGTTGAGAACAGCGAAATCTTTTGATGTTTTTCCAAATGATAGAAGGAGGAGAACGGGGTGAAATGGTTTCGCAAAACCGCAACCAACCAGATTTTTTCTTCTCTGAAAGAAGCCGTTTGGCTTGGGCCGCTGCATTCTGGTAGTGTAAAAAGTTATTTGTGGTCATAGAGCTGTTATACTGGGTTTCAGCTTCTTTTCGTTTAGTAACAATAGTAGTACACTCGTGATCCCACCATGGAGGGGAGGAGATTAGGCTCCGAGGTGAGTTTTTAAGGGGGATAGAGGCCATTGCGGAAGAATTGATTGATGCTACAAATCTGGAATAGGTTTCTTGAAGTGATAAATCCCCAACACTGGGCAGGGACTGTAGCTCTAAATCCAGACATTGACCATACTTGTCCCAGTCAGCCTTAGAGGTGTTAAATTTTAATAGAGAAGAGTGTTGCTTCGATGGAGTGCAGCTGCTTGTTACAGAAACGAGTATGGGGAAATGATCACTTCCGAAAGTACACGGAAGAGTCCTCCAAGAAGAACTGGGCACTAGGCTTGGAGAGCACAAAGTAATGTCCACAGCTCGTCTTGTATCCTGGAGAGGGAAAGATCTACGTGTCGGAGATCCATCGTTGAGGAAACATACATTAAACTCATCAAAGATGTCTAATAAAAGATAGGAGAATGTGTCATTTTTATAGGAACCCCAAGCAGTGTGGTGACTATTAAAGTCCCCAAAGATCATGAGAGGGGAGGTAATACTAGAAAACAATAGATTAAGCTCAGGAATGAGGGAGTGATGTGGGTGGGGAATATAGACAGACATGAATGAGATATTAAAAGCCCTGACTGCAACAGCATTAATTTCATTAGTATTGTGGTCAGGGAGGGAAATTTTATGGAAAATAATTGAGTGTTTTATTAAGATTAGGGTACCTGCATACCCATCTGCACGATCCTCTCGGACACATGTATAGCCCGGGATACGGAAAAAGGATCCCGGAACCAGCCACGTCTCCAAGAGGACGATGATAGCGGGTTTATATTTATTTATAAGGTATTTGAGATCAGGTTTTTAGGTCTGACACTCCGACAGTTCCACTGCAGAAGGTACAGATCCATTGTAAAATTTATTGACGATAGGGGTAAGTTTATTAAGCACGTGGGACGGTAAATCAGTGTCATCAAAACGGGATAAGATATTTAAAAGTGTAGAAAGTAGTAAATCGAGGAAGTTGTCATTATCTGGTGTATTAGACCTATTTAATAAGGCGGAGCCGTTAGGTAAAGAGGAAGAGGGAGTTGCGATTAATTCCATGTGGGTTTGTTTGTCATAGCCTGAGGTTTGGCGGGGTGGCTTTGGTTTCTGGTTTATTGTTACGGATTTTCTATATGAAGTGGTGGCTGGACGGGAGGGTTGTGGAAAGGAC